AACATTTCATCCGTGTGCTTCTGTAACAGTGGATTTTAAAGCCGATATTCAAAAATAAAACGCAGTAATCTATATCCAAGTATTTTTTCCATGTATAGAACAAGAAAAGTCTCGGCGGGAACAACGACAGGGAGTGTAAAGAGCTGGTGAAGCAAGCAGGAGCTCAGCATTCCCCAAACGAAGACAAAGCAAAGACAGGTAATAATAAATGAACACATTAAAAAATATAAAAATTTAAGCTGATTTTCTTTTATTCAAAACAGCTTTTGTTCATCTGACATTTCGTTTCCATGTTTTTTGCAGATCAAAAGCCAAGTGGACCGAGTCGGGATGTTCCCAACGTGGCATCAAGAGAGTGAGTTTACAGTTTATGGCACACGAAGCTAAACAGTCAAATTAAATCTGACTGAACACTCGGCTGTTTATGCAGCTTTTTTTTTCTTTTCCATACCATGATGCTTAAATGTCCATGTGCAAGAAAACATCTTAATTCTTTCAAACACTTCAAAAGAATTTGAAAGAACATCCCTGAGTACAACAAATCTGCAGATGACCGTGCATAAATATATTTTAAAAAACAGCACAGGCTGCGTGTGTCCCCATAAGAAACTAAATTCAAGTATTTCTGTTGTGTGTTTGCAGTAATCAGCGGGAGGAAATCAGGAGAGTGTCTGCTCCGGAAAAGCTCACCTTCAAGGAGCGGCAGCATCTCTTTTCTCTGGCGTCCAGTGCGTAAAACAAGCCTAAAACCTTGGAAGCACAAACCTCCGAACAGAAAAAATGTCTAAATAAAGAAATTTAACAATCCGCGAGGAGAACAAATGTACAGCACCACGCGAAAAGGCAGCAGGAGAATGCATTTATGGTAGAAATGTGTGACTTAGTCATTTCAAGATCAGTATTGTCTGTTAAAATCATTTTTGGAGATTTGTCAACAGTTTAAACATTGTTTTTCATATTTTCCAGATAATAAAGTTTTAATTTAGTAATAGTTCATATTATTTTATGCTTATTTACTGTATAAATCGTTGCTGTATGTTGCTAAACTTCCTTCCATTAAAGTTACTTTGTGCGCTGATAAAACTGCACCACTGCTTTCTCTTGTTCGTGAGTTTCAATGGAACCTCGCCTCAGTCTGCGGATCTCGTTGATCGCGTCGATCCCTGAAATCTTCTTCGTCTTCACCAGGTAGCAGGCCAGCATGGTCCCCGTTCTCCCGTGACCGTGCATACAGTGAACTCCCACGCCCTGACGACAAACAAGGACCGCATATATTTGCTTCAGTCAACTGTAGCAAAGCAAACATCCTGCAGTGAGGAGACAGATATTTGCATTTGTCTTTACAAACAGAGCTGAAATCATTCTCATGTCATAACTGTGTGCTAGCTGAATGTGTTTGGTCTTTAGACTGTTAATGAGACCAAACAAGAAACCATGAGACGTATTTTCTCTCATTTTATGGGACAATTGATGAATTTGTAAATGGGAAAAATAATTGTCAGACAAAATTATGTCAGAAACAAATACAACCAGGTGAGCTTTGTGCAGATCTTGGTGCTGACAGCTTCTGTGAAAGTTGCACAAATAGTATGCAGGCTAGTATTCTAACTAGAGGTTCACTGATGTTTTTTTGTAGGACTGACAGTGATGCTAATTATTAGTAATCAGGGAGACAGATAACTGATATACATTATAAAATATTTGCTGTCAAAATTTAGAAAACCACCAACTCCAACACAATAACTTTGTTGAAATGCTTTTTGTTTTAAAGAGGAACCTTTAAAATCAGAAATCCTTTAAAAACGACACAAATAATGTAAAATGTACGTATATCAGATCCCATCATGATAAATTATTTTAAAGCTTTTCCTCTTGTGGACTTTGGAGGGAGGTTGTGAAATATTTCCTTCCCTGCTACTGCTTCAGGGCTTTCGTGAATGTCAAGTAAACTTGATGCCAGATGTTTTAGGTTACAGTGCTGTGCAACCCCTGGAGAGTTCTGAAAATACTACATAAACATCCATCAAACACAGCTGGCCGGTATCTGAGATCCTACCTCCCCCTTAGAGTTGGCTTCTTCCACGATGGAGAGGAATCTGTCGATCTGACTCGGTGAAGGAGGAGTGAAGTCGACTATCTTGATGTGGTGAAGCTGCAGCTCTGGACACGAGTCGTAGTAAGGTGGCTTCCTCTCACACAGGCAAACCAGGTGTTTGATGCCATTGTCCAGCAGGTACTGGTATTCACATGTCATCTTGGGCAACGCCAGGCCGGCCAGTTTGCCGGATTCCACCCAGGAGAAGTTGTGTGGAGCAGAGGAGGCCATGGGTGTCGAACTGGGGAGAGGAAACAGAGACGGAGAAGTCAGTTTCATACAACATCTCTAGATAAAGCACAGGTGGATTTAGGAAATATATAAAGGGATCAGGAAATAGTTCTAATGATAGACTTACTTTTAGAGACAAGGGTTTTGACAGACAATATAAAAGCAGGATACATAGAAGGCAAAATAATAGTTAACAGAAAGGAAAAACAAAGTAAAGCAAAATTAAGATAAAGTTAATAGAAGATCATAACAGGCCACACTTACAAAATGGATTATTTCAATATTATTAACTACTAATAAAACAATAAAAGCAACAATAAGCTTAATAAGACAACAAAAAAGACAAAATATAGACAGTTCCTGCATTTTTAAGCACCACAAAGTTCATGGAGCTGTGGCTTAGTCAGGAGACACTGATAATAAATTAGAGTTTTGCATCTTGTACTCAGCATTTTCAGCAAATATGACCTTGTTTAATAATGCAAACAAAGCATCTAAGAGCTGTGGGAAGGTGTAAAAAACAGACACACATGAGCAGGAGTGTCTCACAGTGTCAGTGTGTTAGTCTGGTAAACATTAGCACAGCACCACAGGTTAGACTCGACGGTTCACTGAAGCTTGAGTTTGACAGCAGTAAATATTTCAACGCAACAAGACACAGGCTCGGTGTTACAACACTGCAGGCCTCACCAAAAACCACACTGTTTAATAGAAATGTTAGAAAACAAGACATGAAGGTAGCACCTAGCTCAGTTAATGTACACACAAACTAACCTAGCAGCCTTTTAGCAGCTTCGTAAACGTTGCTAATGCGAGCCAGCTTGACTATAAACATTCATTTCCTCTCTATTACCAGCAATAATAATATTAGTACCTCACATATTACCTATAAATATTTTTCTGAGGCTCTCGTCAAACCGCGCTGCCACCTAGCTGGTTGGTTAAGCTAGCTGCTAACTAGCTAGCTACTTCGACGTGCTAACTACGACAGTAAAGCAACGTATAGATGTTATATAACCGAGGCAGGCTGGAGTCTGTTGCACGTTGAGGTGTGGCAGTGTCAGCCAATCCATCAGCCTTTGATGGATAACAGCTGTCATTGCAAATCAGATTCTGTGAAGCAAAATCAACTTACTTCAAGTGGTGGAAAGTTAGCCAACTGGTGGTGGTTAGCAGACAGACAGGAGACCCTCATGACCCCGGAACAGCATGTTCGGATGAATGGTTGTTTTAGCGAACGTCATTCATTCATATTTTCGCATGTATTTTTCTTTTTTTACATCATATCTACAAAACTAAATCATCTTAAAAATAATATGTCTGTGGTGATATGGTACATAAGACAGCCTGGGAGAGCATATAAACAAGTCAGGATGGCCGAGCGGTCTAAGGCGCTGCGTTCAGGTCGCAGTCTCCCCTGGAGGCGTGGGTTCGAATCCCACTTCTGACATAAACCTTTTTTTACACCCTGCATGTTTTTCAGTCTATGGCACATGAATCAAATAAATGGTTTTAAAATTCTGGTTCATTCCTGATATTATTATTATTGTGCCTTCCACTATTATTATAATATGGTTGTGTGTTTAGGTCAATCAACAAAAATACTTGTTTTCCACTGGGGTGATGGTGCTCATTGTTGGGCACAGCAAGTCTAAATTGACAGGCTCTTGCTACTGCCTAATAATTCTTATTTAACATTTAAAAGGAGGAATAATACAAACGCAGAATGCAAATGGTTTTCTTTTTAGATTAAAAAAAAAAAAAAAGAAGTTAAAAATCTAATTTTAGTTGTTCGAAAAGGGTTCAATTTATCCAACTGTGCACAAACTAATATTCAGGTACTCAACTGGTGATGAATCCTCAACCATTGAGATATTTCACACCATCATCAGGTGTGGCTTTACAGGGCTGGTAGCATGACCAGGATACAGACACGACCTTTGCTGGCTACCGGAGAATGCAACCTAAAAGTGCAGCTTTATTCAAATGATTCAAGGCTGTTGGCATGTTGGGCGAGTCATGGCCAGACACTTAAAGGTCCACAATTTGTCTTTTAAGAAGAAGTTTGGCACAGCTCTTGATGTCCGATAACATGACCCTGTCCCCTAATAAGGTCTGTCAACCTCCCCGAGTCCTTCAGGAAGAATTGGACGGTGTTCTGCAAACCAGCACCGAAGCGCAGCTTTAATTCAAAGTGTGGCAGATGTGTGACTTGTTACTGACTTGTGATTTGGACTCTCAGTCATTATCACTACAATACAGGGCGTACTTGGTTGTTTCATGACATTTGTTCCGTCGAGATGCCGAGTGTTGGAACAACAAATACGTATTCCCATAGAACTGAACAAAATGTTGCATGCTGCATTTATATTTTTGCTCCTGCATACATTTAAAATACCAAATGATATTTGGAAAGTACGCGTCCTCCACACAGTTGCGTTCAAGTACCTCTAGGGGGCAACGCTCTTTATAAATAGTGAAAACAAATGCTTGGGCAGTTGATTATTAACTGCTCGATGCACTGCTGCAGCCATTTTTAGAAACCTAGAATGGGAAACCAAGCACTTTTCAACATTGATTTAAAACTGTCTAAAGTTTGAGATGCCAAAAATGGCACAAACAACAATTTTAAAAAGTGTAAAAATGGTATTTGCATGCCAGTACGGTAAGATAAAGGTATGAAAGTTTGAGCAGAACATGCAGAGGCGATAATGTCAGGCTGATTTCTAAAGATTTAAACTGGTGTTTAGTTTGTATTTACGACTTCAAACAATCGACACAAAAAGTTTGATCCCTTCTGCAGCTACAGTAAACATCTAATTACTGTAAGATTGTGAAAATGCCGTTTTGAATCTGTCCCCGGTGTTCTTTATACTGTAGAGATGTCCTTGTTGAGTCTGCATTGAATCATTTCTTGTTTTAATATTTCTTTTTTTCACTTCCAGATCGAGGCTGCCCCTGTTCCATACAATCTCCACATGAAAGGAAAAGAGAGAAGAAGACCGTTTGTCCATTTTCATGCAATAGTTAATGATACAAACACAAACATTCAGAACTCACAGCACAGCACAGTTTACTTGCTAGTCATTTTATACAAAGAGTAGAAAGAGGGTTCGTATCTGAAGGAGACAAACTGCATCACATTTGCCAGATAAGATGTCGATACACAGAGACTGATTTTTCAGAAAGGTAAAGGTGTAAATAGAGTCACAGAGTCGAATGTTTCAAACATCCCATTAAAAAAGCTTTCACTAACCTGTTGGTGTAAAAAAAAAGAGAGAGAGAGAGAGAGAGACTTCACGTACAGTTATAGAAAGATATCTAGGTCAAGTCGGAAGAAACACAAAATAAACAACAACTTAAAAAACATTCCAATAATCAGGTGGCGTCTAGTGGTAGGCGTACTTTTGTTTGCTGTCCTACGGTGCTCGAGCCGACCACAAACCATTTAACAGAACATCTGGAAGTCCCAAAAGAACCACAAAATATTTTTTTATTTTATCTATTTTTTTTGTTTGTTTGTTTGTTTGTTTGTACACATCACAACCTGAAGACTTGACTGGTTGTCCATCAGTTCTCTGGGTGGTTATCATCACACGTCACATCATCATCATCATCATCATCATCATCATCATCATCATCCCTTTAGTGTCATCTAAAAGCCCCTCAACATGCCGCACACCCCTCAAAAAAAGCAATCACAACCCCTGTAATGGTTACATGTTAACTCTGTGGTTTTAATTTGTGCACTCTTTAGGTGCCGTTCGACAAAGGGGGCAATAATCGCCGTGCCCTCCTACTAGAAGATTTCTACGTATTTTGAACGTCCACGTTCAAAGTGTCACACCGAGCAGGCTGCTGAAGGGCCATGCTGAAGTTTACAGGATGGCACAGAAGAACTTCTTCTCCCTGAACGGGTTCTCTGACGCTGGAACCGGCGATAGCAGAGGGTCCTCTTTGGCGTGAGCTTCGCAGTACGACATCAGGTCCGCCGCCGCTTTGGACACCTGCGATCACACACAAACACACACGTATCTATGAGTACATGCCGACGGACAAAGACAAGGTTTTAATTTCCCTTCAGAGAGAGATGAGAAGAGCCTGTGCTGCTCCAAGTTTGTACAGTAAACATGTACCACAGCCACAAAGTAAATACTCACTTAACTTTGTTTGTGGTTTAAAATGCATGTTATCTTTAACCTCTTAAGCCCTGGTGTCCACATGCATAGACATCACAACTTGGGTTATATGGCCACAGCTGTAATTTTTTTGTTTTAATGTTTAAACTCAGAGCTCAGGTCTTAAGCGTTTTTTTAAAAAATCATCCAAATTGTACCATTTATCAGAGCAGCAAACTCTAAAAACAGAACAAATCACGTGTTCCACTGAGAAAAGTAACCAAATCCAAGATTAAAATCATCAAAATCACTTTATTCTACGTGTCTCGTTTTAATAACCACCTAATAATCAAACCAAAGTACCATTTCATTTCACCAAACCTGCTCTTTTTAAAATGCTGAGAAAAGTTGGAGCCATGGTCAGTGGTTTAAACCAAATACAGATGTGAGGGATGGTAAATGGACATTAAAACACTGATTCATGTCATTTGCTGTCTCATAACAAACAGCATCAAATATCAAGTCTGAGCAGACGTTTTCTTTACAGCAGACATATTGCATTTTTTATCATAGTAGGAGAAACACACACACTTTATTCCATCTCAAATCATCTTCTGCTGGACTTGAAACTGCTTGAAACTTTCTTTAAAATCATAAACTGTGGACATATTTTTTAGATCGCCCGTTGACCAACTTTTAGTTTTTTCTTTAAGTATCTTCAGAGTTGAAACTCAGGAACTATTGAAGATAAAATCTTGAAATTCTCACTGTTTTCACTTTAATAGTTTCTGAGTTTTTGACGTTCAAACATTCAAAAAACATGCTTAAAGTGAGTTTTTAAAAATATCATCTTGGAAAGTATTTAATATATCAAGCTCAAATTTCATAAATATCTTTATACACGTCCATATCTTATGCTGTGAAAAAATTCAGGCACATCCGGGACAGATGGATGGAATGATTCTTTTCTAAGTTCTGCAGTTTGACGTTCCAGGTCCTGGACGACACACTTGTGAATGTTAATCAGCGTTATTAGCAACACGAGGAGCACGGTGTCAAACTGAGGTCAGCAAATATAGCATAAAAAAACTTTTTTTGTCTTATCTCGGTCACCAGCGACAAACCATACGCAGGAAAAATAATTATTGTGTTAACCTTCATTTTAAAGCAAGAAAACTGAAACTTGCAACCACAGCTGCTGTCATGTGATCATTTATCCTTTACTACTTGCATAAAATGTCGTGTTTTCCACTCTTGGATCTTTGAGCTACTTTCCCGAAGTCAAGAATCAGACTGGAAACCACATCTGTAAAAAAGCTCAATTCTGCAACTTTCACTCCTCTAAAGCTGCTAAAATAAACACTGAGCTGATGGAGAAACTCATACAAGAGGAAGTTGGTTAAAAATAATTTGCATTTTATACGATATGAGCCTTTATTAGTCCCATAGTGGGGTGATTTGCATTGATACGGCAGCAAACGGTAAACAGAGCACACATTGAAGGAATATTATAAACAAAAAATACACATATGGACGAGCTGAGGTTGTCCAGATGGACATAGATAGATAGAAGGTTATTGATCCCTTTGGTAGAACCTCAGGGAAATGGTTGAATAAACAATAAACAATAAAAACATATGAGGTGTGTCAGAAAAGTTCCAGGACTGGTGTCACAAAAGATAGATTTCAAACCACGATCAACCAACACGTCTGAGATCCTGCAGCGTTTGCAGTGAGAGTTGTGGCCGGACAACTCGTGGCTGCTTCACCATGACAACGCACCTGCTCACAACGCCCTGAGCATCCCACAGTTCCTGGCTGAGAAGAACATCTCTGTGCTGGAGCAACCTCC